ATTATATGAATATATTTATCCCGAATGAGGACTTTAAACAATTACTTTATTTTTACACATATAACGCGCAACACAAATTCAAAGATGTCATTTCTCGTCATAAGGACTGCGTAACAATGGGATCCCCACTAGGCCGGTTGTTTTTGGACGTCTGTGGTGATCCGGCCCTACGAGATGACGCCTACCCTGGAGTGGCGCTTTGCAGTTTTGTGACCACTGCGATCAATCAAACCTCACGGGTGACGCCAACAACGCGCGTACGTGGCACTGCTTTCGACTTCATATCATAGGCAGATCGTACTCGCCAATCAGAGACCGTGCGGCCCAGACATAAGCAGAGCTACTGAAGCAATACTGGAACGTGATTGGTAGAAACCCGGGTAACCAATGAGCCTACTTTGTACATATTATTTCATCTCCCTTATTTCTTCCAATAAACGAACCACCATTCCTGTGGCCTTTTCCTCGCGTCTCAGTTACGTGGGATATTGCTTGCTAGTGCCAGTGCGGTCCAACGCTTACGTGATCCAGTCCCTGATTGCTAATCCTTGATTCGTATTCCGTGATCCGTATTGCGTGATTCATATTCTGAATTCAGTGCGTATTACAATCACTACAACGTCTTCATGGTAATGCTAGAAAACAACATCCTGGAAGCTTCCATTAAAGAGTGCGAACCATACAAAGATACATCGATGACGTATTTGTTTCGTGGACGTAGATAGTAAGCTCAATGAGCTACTGGCAATATTCAACCGCACGCATCGAAATACCAAGTTTACTCTAGAGAAGGAAACTCAAAATGAGATCGTATTTAGTGACTTTTGTTTAAAACATCGAGAAGATGGGTCCATTCAGTCAATGGCCAGTGCACAACCACGTGGTCGGAACAGTTTACTAGTTGCTGAAATTTTACCCCTTAAACAAACGCAATTTAGTGCCTCATCAAAAGGACACAATAGCTCTGCTCCAATGAAATCATTTTAAACGAATTAAAGTAGTTACACCCGGTCTTTCAACAAGATGGATGCCGGAATCGATTTTTGGGTAGTATATTAAAATGATAGCTAAACGAGAAGAATACTGTTGCAGCAGAAAAGAAGCCGAACTACATAAAATTGTGACATTGTAACGGAGATAGTTACTTGAACGTTGACAACGGCCATCAATCAAACATACTATATTGGTGAGTTAAGAATCAAAATGCAACTCTAAGATAAAGTTCATGTTTGCGTTTACTCATTCCTGTAGAACAAAGTACTTCAGTTCCACAGGAACACACTTGACTTCGTGAGTTCGCACGCATCATCCGATTTGGTTTCACAACTGGGGTGATTCAGTCAATTACGAGCGCAATCCGTTCACAAGCACTATCAAGTCAAGTCACTTAGTTGACATGACCAGGTCTGTGGACAACATCTTAAGCGGATTAAACAGCACTCCCTGAATACAGTGTTAGCAGTGGAAATTCGGATTCACAGTCCCACTTGTGTGAGAAAAAAAATATGTGAAGTAATGGTGTCTCCAAATTCCCCTAACTCACCCATTTTCCATCAGTTATTTCTATCTGTTTTACGCCTGAACTAGATACTATATTGCAAAAAGGTATTACCCCTTTTTTCAAGTTTTTTGTGGTGATCCTAGCTTACGAGATGACGCCAACCACGGGGCGACACGTTACAGTTTTCGAACAGTTGTGATGAATCAAGCTTCCGGGGTGACCTCAGCAATGCGCGTACGTGTCACAGCTTCTGGACTAAAAACCATAGGCCGATTGTACCAACCAATCAGAAACCGTGCGGTTCAGACAGAGGCTGTACAACGCCAGAAATGCTAGCACGCGATTGGTAGAGCCTTAGGTGGCCAATGAACTTGTTTTGTACATATTATTCAAACCCCATGATCTCTTCCAATAAATGAAGTACTACTCCTGTTACCTTTCCCTTGAGTCTCAATTACGTGGGATGCCATCGTGCAAATGCCAATGTAATTCAGTGCTTACGTGGCGTCCTTGATTTCCGATACGTGATTCGTAATTCGTGATCAGTGGGAACTACGTTTATTTCCTTCAGTACTTGCAATGAATACTCACTTTTTATGCACCAGTTATATAAATTATGTAGAGAAGACAAATCAGAGAAAACAGTCTTGTTTTCTGCATTGTGTTCAGCTCAGTAGTTTGAACAAAGATACTTAAGAATCCCGATGAACTGGGAAAGTGTGGTAATGCAAGCCCCAGAGATAATGTCAGTCAAGACGCTAAGCGTGACCGTTTCTAGACAATGAACCACAGACCAATACTGTCAACCAGTCCAAAGCCCTGGGTGGGGTTCAGCCAGAAGCTGTGACAAAGAGGATACAAGTAGGCTATTGGTGAGGATCTGCTTAACCAGTGATGTTCCTTTATACACATTATTTAATACCATTGATTTTTCTAATAAACTAACTCGCTACTTCAGTAACCTACTACTTGCTGCATCTCGGTGATGGTAGAATTCGGCATACGAGGACCAGTACAGTGCCATATTTCGCTCACGATTGCGATCCGTGATCCGAGATTTGTGTCTGTTAAGATTACTGGATAAAGTTAGACTCGAGTTGAGGAACTTTATGACAAAATTTTTGATCTGGACTACCATCATCACCGGAGGCACTCAAAATCAAGAACGGTAATTAGGTTGATGTTTGTAC